GGGGGGGGGGACTGAGGATTAAACCAGGGCTCTTTACCACTGAGTTACATTCCCTAGTCCTTTTTTAAAATTTTTAATCTGAGACGGAATCTCACCAAGTTGCCGAGGCTGGCCTCAACCTTGTAAACCTCCTGCCTCAGCCTCCCGAGTCTCTGGGATCACAAGCATGCACCTCCCCTCCCAACTAGGAACCATTTTTTTTCCAACTCAATTATTTTTAAAAATTACCTCGCCCAGTGCTAGTAACATCAAGAGTGTGGATGTCAATGGCTGAAAACCCTTTGGAAAACAATAAAGTAAAAAGCATCTAAAAAACTGTCAAAATGTGCTGTCATTAGACTTGGCGTCCCAGCTCCTGAGAATTTAAAGAAACCAGTCAGTGGTAGCAAAGGTTGTTTGGCATCAAGGTGTTTACTGTCTTATTACCTGAAACAGGAAAAGAAAAAGAACCTGGAGCAAGTTAAAAGTCCACCGGCATCCAGAGCCTCTAACCACGATCATTACGAAAACTCAGTCGAGACACAGAAAAAGGATTATGATAAATGAAAGGTGTCAAATAAAACCAGAATATATACTAAGGGCTCCAGGTAGGGAGCGTCTTACTAATGAAGGAAGGAGTCAGAAACAATGAACATCCTGTGTGCAGGGGAGTCTGCGGCAGCCCATCAGATTCAGTCCGCAAGACAGCAGGGCCACATTTCCCAGCAGCCCTTGCACCGGGGCAGCACCCAGGATGGGTTCAAGTCTCCCGGGCGAGAGTAGAAGCATCGTGATGTGCCACTGGGCTGTTCTGGCCCATGAAATCCCACCACACGTGCTGCACCAAGGTCTGAGGGGACCTTAGAAGCCACAGGGAAGACCAGAGACCCTGTGAGCTTGAACACCAAAATGACTGCAGAGCACAGACCTGCCCCTCCCCTGGGGCTCCCCTGGGACCACCCCGAACTGTAGCACGAGAAGAAATAAACCCCTGATCTATGCACGTGTGTGGGTGTGCCACTAAATGTGGGACTACTTGTTACAGCAGCAAAGCCATCCCTGACTAATACACACAGATGATGAAGGGCAGTTGGGAGAACATGTGACTCAGGGGTTGAGACCATAGATTTGAGAGTCGGAAAGACTTGAGTTCAAGTTCCAGCAATGCCATTGACTATTCCCAGGAAGGTGTTTAACTACTCTGACCCTCTGTATCCTCATCTATTTGTTTTGATAATCGAATGAGAAGATTCTACAAAGTCCTTAGCACGGTACCTCGGATGACAAGGGGCTCAGACCATGATTCAAGTCCTCCTGAAGCCCAGCTGCTTCCGTGCTCTGTCCTGCGTCCTGAGACATTTCCCTAAGCTCGTCTGAGCTCTGTTTCTAGTCCTTGCAAGCAAGAGTGCCAATGGGTACACTGCCCCCAGGGGAGAGGTCCTTCCCCGATCCTCACCCAGGCAGAAGCTGTGCAGCCTGCGCAGGCCTAGATGGAGCTGGGGGGCAGTAAGTGACTCAGCATCCTCCTCGTCGTAATGACAGAACAGGGTCTAGGAGCCAGATTGTCCCCAGCCAGTCTTTTCCAAGACACAACCCTGTCCTTGCCACCCAAGTGGGCCAAGCCACGCTGGATGCAGAAGACACAGGCCAGGCAGGCAGTGGCCAGTGGGCTGTCCCATGTCCCAGACTGAGAGCACTTCCCAGATGGCACCCGGCAAGTCCTCAAGGCCAGCAGAGGCCAATGGTGCCCAAGAGGCAAGAGGCCAATATGGTGGGGAGGTCTGCAGTCCTGACGAAGAGGGCCTCTGGGTGGTCTCATCCAGCCACCTGTCCACTGCCTGAGGGGCCCAGGGAGCAGGACAGCAGGCCCAGTTCCTGCAGGGCGCTAGGCCAGAAACGCGCCCACAGCCTCACCCTGCGCACACACGTGCCGCACAGACAGCTGCCTTCACGTCCGTCCCACGTGCGTGTTCCTCCCCAACTCAACTCCTGCTGGTCACACAGCAGACGAGGGGGCCCAGGAGGCACACAGCACACCGGAGGGCACCTTGTCCATCACTGCTTGCACCCATCAGGGAGACATAGACACCTTTGATCAACTCCTTGAGTCACGTCCCCAGCAGGGTCCCTGCCCTTCTGCAGACCCCACAGACCAGCTCCATGCAGACGGCCCCTCAGCTCCCTCCACAGCGCTCCTAAGGCAGGTACAGGTGACCACTTGGGTGGGGGTGGGTGTTCAAGGAAGGGAAGTAGGGGCCAGAGGATGCAGACTGAGAGGGATCAGCACTGAGAGGGGAGCCCCTGAAGTCGGCCTGGGCCTGACCCCAGGAGGGTGTGAGCTACACCACCAAACTGTCCCCTCCATGTTGCAGGCCAGCGGTGCAGAGCCACCTCGGTGACCACTGGACCACTGGACCACTGCTGAGACAAGCTGGCCCTCTGAGGTAGGTGCTCCCTTCCAGGTGACTTCTAGAGAAGGGGACAGCTGTGAGCCTAGCAGCCAGCACGCCAGCAGCTGGGAACAGAGAGCCGGCCAAGCAGACAGGACCAGGCAGGCACCATGAGCTCGCCAGGGAGACCTGCTGCCTCTCCCCAGGGGAATTTTCAAAATATGGAACACTTGGCACTGACCCATCAGACCAGGCGTTGTGACCGACTTGAAAGACCGGCTCTAACGGGCGGGCACATCTCACCAGTGGGCAGCACCTGTCAGCCTTGTCTCTGCAAGGGCTGGGCCACCAACCCGTCCTCACCATCACCCCACAACGCTGGCATTATCCTATCTTACTGCTGGACAGCTAAAGGCTCAGGGACACCAGTCAGCCCTCCCCAGGTGGCACGGCCCCGTCCGTCACAGGGCCAGCACTTGCATGCAGACTAGTCTGGTGCCAAAGCTGGTACACATTTTTCAGTCGGCCCCACTGGGTCATAGAGATCCAAGAAACTCAAGGGTCCCTCAGTGTCGCTAGGTCACGATCTCATCGTGTTCAGAGGGGAATGGAAGGACAGAAGACCAGTTGTGATCCCCTGTGGTGTCAGACGCCCCTCTTGACATTGCGCAGCACCAATGTGTGCCAAGGCCTCGGGAACCAGATGAAGGCAGAGGCCTGACCCCCGCCCGCAGGAGCCTGTGACAAGAGACGTAGAAATGAAGTGGAACCTTCTGGAGCAAGGCCGGTGCAGGCATTCGATATTAATGATCCATTTCTGTCCCAAAGAAGCCAGCCTTGGGCTTTGCCCAGCCACACGCTCTGCTGTTAAAGGACCAGCACAGCCCCAGGGCTGTTCCTCTCCCCTGCTGCTAAGGGAGGCCCTCCCAGGGGTCAGCTAACTTCTTCAGGAAAGAGCCAGACAATAAATATCCCGTGGGCCTCCCGCTCAACTCTGCAGGGCTCCTGCTGGCCTGGAGCTCAGCAGATTCTGTACAGGCCCAGGTTTGCCCCAACTCGCCCCTGACACGGTGGGGCCCACACAGTGGTGGAGGGGGTGGGCACGGACAGTGTGGCTGTTCCTGACGCTGCACTTACAGACAGGGGTGTGGCCCCAGGCCATGGTTTGCTGAGTCTGGCACCAGCCCAGTCCAGGCCTTTGACGTCCACAGCTTCTGTGTGAACAGATCTCTGCCATCTAACCTCTCATGCCACAAAGCGTGGTGAGCACCCAGCATCACCTAGGGGAGCTGCACCTGTGGGCGGGCAAGGCCCAGGGAGCATTTTAAGTAGGAAGCAAACTGTCCTCCATACTCCCGCCTACCAACGCCATGAAAAGGAAGCAAGAGAAGGACCCCAGGTCTGAGGGCGGGGCAGTGGTGAGCAGCCCCTTCCCCTCAGGTCCGGAGCAGGGGCTGGATAATGCAGCAGCCGTCACCCTTCTTCCCCCTGCCAGGTGCCTCTCTGCAAGACCTCGACAGGGAGCAGGGATTCAGCAAAGGTTTGGGGACCACTTGTTCCAATGTGTTTGTCCAACGATACAAACAAAATCTTCAAATCCTGACCAGCAAACTAGTGAAATATGCGCTCATCCCCAAGGCTATGTGACAGCGGCCCCTGAACCCGCCCAGATGGAGGGCACAGCTGCAGAGGTGGGTCTACACTGCTGTCACCCACCCGAGGCACATGTGCCATGAGGTACGGACACCCCACAGGGGTGTGGCGAAGTTCCTGGGTGCCAGCCCCAGCGATCCTGCAGCCTGCCCCAGCCCTGCACCCTCCCCTGGGCAGACACCGGGCTTCCCCTGGAGGGGCACCCTCCGCAGGGCCAGAGCCCATTGCCTCCGCGTCTGCGCCCCATGTCTCCCCTGCCCTGCCCCTGAGAGAAGCAGATGAACAAACAAGCCTGGGTCTGGGCTGAAGGATGAGCCGGGCAGTCTCTAGGGAGGCCGTCTCTCAGAGAACCAGTCTAGAACCTTCCTTGGTGGAAACAGTAACAAGGTCGGAAGCAGTGGAGACTGCTGGTCCCCGCTCCTGAGAGCCAACTGAAGGGTGGCCAGCTCCTGGATCCCACCTGGGGCCAGATGAACTGCCCGGGCCCAGAGCAACTGAAGCAATGGCCCCTTTGGTCAAAGCCACTCAGGGAAGTGGAGAGTCTTCTATGAGGGATGGTCAGGCCGCGAAGCATCTCCCATGGGGCTGCAGGACGCCCCCAGCTGAACCACCAGGACCAAGCTTCATGGCCCGGGATCCAAGCGCATATGAAGCCAAACGCTCCTGGGGTTCCCAGCCTCGCTGTTAGGGAGGGCCCCAATTTGCTCAAGCCAGTTGGAGTTGGGGGTCTCTTACTTGAAACCGAAAGAGCCACGACTTCTGTGCACTAGAGACATGTCTGTTTCTTAGGAACCTTTTCCCCGCCGTCCACTCAGGCCACAGATGTCTGCTGAGCACTGGTCACTTACTGTGGCACTGCTACCCCTGAACCCAGGAGGCACAATACAGTCACATGCCACGTTTGTGGATTCTGTGGTCGAGAACTTAGGAGGAGCCTGGCTGAGCAGTGACACTCGGGGTCTTCCACGTGGTGGCCGTCAGATGGGGGCCACAGCCGTTGACATCTGGAGACCCGATTGAGCTGCAGGATCTGCTCCCACGGTGGCTGACTCCCAAGGCCGAGAAGGGGTGCTGGCTTCTGGCCGGGGTCCCGGTGTCCTAGGAGGGCCGTGGCTTTCCCTGGAGAACAATTCCTCCATGGCCTGGCCTGAGAGGTCACCCGTCACCACTCACCCCGGCCACATCTGTCTCCCGCCACTGCCACCCTGCTCAGGCTCTCCAACAGACGGTGCTGACTGTCCACCAGGTCAGAGCTGTCCCAGGAGAGCAGCGGGTGACAGGCAGCGGGTGACAGGCAGAAGCCAGGCTTTCCAATGGCCTGAGAAATGCCACAGGTAGACTTGGGCACTGAGGTGACCCAGCCAGCAGCGGAAAAGGCTGCCACCGTGTGGTGGCCTGGAAGCTATGGGCACCACAGGGGGTTCTTGTCTTCCACAGCCTCCCTCATGCCCGGATAGAGAGCCCATCAACACTGGGGTGAGAGTTAAAAACACTCCAAGAACCGGTTCCGGTCACCTTGGTCCCAGATGCCCCGGCTCACCTCCCTGGTGGCAGAACCACCACAAAAACCCAGGTGCCCAGCCCGAGGCAGAAGCAGAGCCCATGGGTGCCCCCACAGAGCCAGGGACCCTCCGAGCTGAGCCTCTGCACCTGCGGTGTAACCCAGGACGCTCTCCTGCTTTTCATCTGTGCCTCGGCCCTGGCAGACCTGCTCCAGTGCCCACCAGCAGTGTCACCGGACCAGCGGGTGCTTCACCTCTGCTCTGAGCCCTGGGCTCTCCACAGCCCTGCCCCTGGCGCACCTCTGCCCTGGCTGAATCCAGGGCTCCAGCACACCAGGCACAGCCTGCCCCCTGCACTCCCCGGGCAGCACCCAGTCGGCACCCGATGGACGGGGTGACCTCCACACTGTCACCTCCTCCCTGTAAAGTAAGTGACCATGCGCTCCGGCAGTGCTGAGCGCCAGACAGCGTGTCTGTCGCACACGCACACTGGCGTCCTTGAGCCCCCTGCTCACGTGCGCATCTGTCGGAGGCCCAAAGCGTACTTCTTTAAACCGAATCTGTCACTAACGCAAAACTTGGAAGACTTTGCACAAAGCTTTCTCTCTGGCTTCTCTAGAAAAGGAATGTGCGTCCCCGAGGACAGTGGGCTCCCGGAGTGCCACCTGAGCAGGTGGGGCGGGTCTTCCTGGGCCACACCCCGCTGTTCCCCTGACAGCTGCCCTGTGACAACGTCACCGTGGCGCACCACACCTCTCCTCTCCCACTTCACCAGGACTCCGACCTGCTCCCCACATGCTCCAGTCTGTGACCCCAGCATTTGGCCAGCGTCACCAAGAAACGCGGCTGGGACGAGCGACAACACAGATGAACGGGCAGGTTTATTGATTTTCACCTCCTAAGGGACGCTCCTGGTGGCGGTGCAGGTGGCGTGGCTTCAGCAGGGTCTCAGTGCAAAGGACAGTCCAGAAGGCACCTCTGCCCTGCACCCAGATGCCACGCTTGCTGGGATGCTTCCTGCGAATGACGTGCAAGACTAAGCAGCCGCCGCCAGCCCCAGCCCTACTTAAATACTCCTCTGACAAATAAAAACAATAAATTATCTTCAGCTCAGAAAACGCATCGGGCTCAGCAGAGTGACAGGAGGGTCTCTTCACTGCGCTGCACCAAGAGGCCACACGAGGGGAGGGGGGACCACAGTGACGGCCCGGGCTACGGTGCGGTGGAGGTGGCAGGCGCATGCTGGGCTCTGTGGGCAGTGGCGGCCGGCGGCCGGCGGCCTCCTCCTCCTCCTCACGTCCGCCTCGTCTTCTGCTTCTTGGCCTGTCGCTTCACGTCCTCAGGGCCGCTGTTGTCCGAGGCTGCCTGGCCCAGAGCCCGGACTCCCTGCAGCCGGCTGGTCAGCTGCCACAGCAAGGGGATGAGCTGGGGAGAGAGGGACAGGGAGATGTGGGGGCTCCTGCCGGTCCCAGGGCCTCGTCCTCACCCTTCTCCACTCGGCGCGGTCAGCACCCCTGCATGCTGACGGCTGGACGTCAGTGCATGGCAGGCCCCAGGCCCGAGGGCCGCCAGGTGGGCTGCCTCTCCAGAGGCAAGGACTAGGAGGGTCACTCAGGTTCATGTCCTTGAACGGGGACCCTGGGGCTGGCTTCAGGCCTTCACGGTCCAACCCTGAACTCCTGTCACAGTGGCCACTCCTCCACGGCTGCTCCTTAGTGGCAAGGCCCGCTCCCTGCCACCTTCCTGTCCCCAGGTCCCACCTGTCCTACCTTGTCGTGGTTGTACCCAGCCAACAGGACCAGCAGTGCCAGCGGCAGGGCGATGTAGGACCCCTGTGCGATGTCCTGCTCAGGCAACTTCCTCTGCAAACACAGGGCACCGTCACGGTCACCCACCAGCCACAGCCACGACGCCCCCGCCCTCCAGACTGGCCACCAAGGACCCAGAGTCCCCACACTCGCCACCCAGGAGGAAACCGAGCGATAGAGTCGGTTCTCAAACTCACCCCCCTGCTCCCCAGATTCTCGTTATGGGGCCCCGGAGGCCAGGCAGCGCAGTACCTTCCCCCAGCGCTCACTGGCCACATGGAGGGGAGGAGGCGCAGGGAGCAGGAGTCTCAGTGGCTGAGAGCAAATGGGCCTCGCTGATGGAGTCCCAGCTACGTGTGGGGACCCTGTCTCACAGGACATATGGGGAGCTCTGTTCCAGAGCCGGGGCACACGTGACAGGCAAGCTGGTCCCAGAGACCACTCCCAAGGGGGAGGCAAAGAGGAGACTGCGACCTCTACCAGGGCCACTCTCCCCTACCCCTCCTTCGCCCCAGACTTTAGCGCAGGCCCCATTTCCCAGCCTCCTCTGCAGCGAGGTGCAGCCCTGGAATGAAACTGGCCAGCAGCACACAGAGGGTCAGGAGCCACGCCCGCTAGGCCCGCTAGGCCCTGAAGACAGTGGCGTGCCTCCCCGGCTGGCTGGAGGCACTGCCCAGTGGACCATCTGGAGAAGTCATGAGCTAGAACGTCCCGATGCCAGGGGCGACCTGACCCCCGCGCTGCTGGGCAGGACACTGTCAGGAGGCAGAAACCTCTGACCCCCAGGCCTGCGTTCCCGGTCCCGGGACACCCAGGGAAACTCCCTCCCCACAGGACACAAGTGAGTCACAGGAGAACCTGTACACACCAACGAGGACAGGCCCGCGAGCCAGAGCACAAGGAGGAGGGCTCGAGACCTCCTCACGACACACCACGGCCTGTGCCTTCCCGTCCCGGCCCCCCACGGCACGGCTGCTCAGTCTGCAGGGCCTGGGGTCTGAGGAGGCCCGAGCTACAAAGGCCACTCAGCAGACGCCTTCTCAGCTGCAGGCACTGCGCCCCCTGCTGGGCTGGTTTCCCCTGGCACTTCATCTGTCAAGGACGCCACGTTCCACCCTGTTGTCCTGCATCCCTGGTGGCACTTCTGTGCCCCTGTGTCCTCTATTTCCTGCAAATGGCAGCTAGTTCTAGAGTTTGGAGTTGGCCAGGTGTCAGGGGCCTCCTGATGGAGGAGGAGCACAAAGCCGCCTCTCCCCCCAGCCCTCCTGAGCCCATGAGGTGACCCCGACACACA